AATATGTCTTAGTGAGCAGAAAAAAAAAAAAAAATTCAGGTACCTGAATAGGAAAATGAATTACCATAAATTCTTACCATTTCAGTTAGGATCTCAATAGGTTTTGAAGAGGACAAAGTTATTTTCAAGTTCTTATGAAAGAAAACAATGTCAAGAAAATGCAAAATATTCTTGAAAAGGGAAAATACTTCCAGAAACAAACAAACAAAAAAGCTAATTTAAGAGACAGCAAAAGTACAGTAGGGCAATGACCAGTGAGAAGGTAATGATACAGGGCAGAGTGTTAGAAACACACCAAGTTCACAGGGAAATTTGATATTTAAAATGGTGGCCTTTCATTTTCAACGAGGAGTATATGGTACTTGACATCTGGTGGAAAACAGTATCTGGGACACATTGATCATACATTTAAAATAAAAGATTCAAGGTAAATTAATAATCTAAATTTAAAAAACAAAATGAAAATAATAGAAGACATCTTAGGAAAATATCTTTGAATGGAGATGATCTAAGACAAGTCAGGAGAATATACACACTATTGTATGTACAATAATCAACAAGGATCTACTGTATAGAATAGGGAGCTATATTCAATATCTTGTAATAACCTGTGATGGAAAAGAATTGTAAAAAAGAATCTGAACCACTTAGCTGTACATGTAAAACCAACACACTATAAATCAACTATATTTCAATAAAAATTTAAAAAATAAAAATAAAACAAGTCGTCAGGTAACCCAGGTGCTTTAACAGGTAGGAAAAACAGAGAAGACTGCACAATATATTTAAATTTTTGAAAAGCAAAAGATACCATAATCAAAATCAAAATGTTTCAGGAAAACATTACATATGTGACAGAGAGTCTATTTTTCCCAGTATATGAAGAACTCCTACACATTGATAAATGAGAGGCAAACAATGAATCTAAAATTAAACAAAAACTATGAAAAAGCAAATCTTTTTGTAATTAGGGAAGTGCAAAATAAAATGAAATATTGTTTCTATCTGTTATATTTGCAACATTCAAAAGAATGGCCAATCTGATTCTGATGTGGAGATTAAGTAAGTAAATGTTAGTGGCTTAGTTATGTATGATTCTTTGCAACCCCATGAACTGCCCCCCAGGTTCCTCTCTCCACGGAATTCTCCAGACAAGAATACTAGAGTGGGTTGCCATTCCTTCTCCAGGGGATCTTCCCAACCCAGGTTTCGAACCCTGGTCTCCTGTGTTGCAGGCAGGTTCTTTACCCTCTGAGCCACCAGGGAAGCTCTGATGTGGGGAATGGTCCTCCTCTAACGATGGTGTGGGAGTTGCTGATGGCTGCAATCATTTTACAAGAAATTCTAGGGGGAAAAAATATTGTAGGTTCATAAAAACTTATCTTTTGGCCCAGGAATACTACTCTTGAAAAATCTACCCACTAGATATTAAAACACACACATGAAGATGCACTGAATGTGGAGACAGGAGAGGAGGAGATTCCGGGACTGGTGTGGGGGATGGGGGTGAGAGTGGGAATAAATTGAGGTAATCTCTCCAGGGGATCACTGTGCACCCGTTACCCAGCAGAAGACCTAGGGAGATGGCCAAGAGCCTTAGGTAAAAATAACAAGTCGAAGAGAAATGTATGAGGCACCATTTTATTTGTGGTCAAACAAAAAGCCCCTAAAGACCCGAATGAATACATGAGCACAGAGGAATACCGTATCTCAGAAGCAGAGCGCCAAGCCTGCTCAGCCCTGAGGTTTCCATAGCCCTAAGCACAAGGGACGCCTCCGAGCGGTTCCCACACAGGGAGCGCAGGCTCCCACACGCTGGGAGCATCTGCACCATAGAAATTGGCAAATGCTGCATAGATTCTGGTTTTATGCCCTGGAAGCCAGTAGTTAACTGTGACCAGCACATTGCTGCCACAAGGGGATGAAAAGGGGAACAGGCGCTGTCTGCAGAAGCTCCCAAAGACCTACTTACTCCTCACACTAGGAAATACACAAATACAGATTAATTTCTATAGCACACAGGGGACCGATCCAGGCTCCATCCGAGGAACACCGTTCTTTCAGGAGTCGTCTGTGGTCTGCGTAGCCTGAGCCGCGGCACCAAGGGCTATGCTGCATCTTGGCCACTTGAGGGCAGTATAGCCACAGCCAAGTCCCCGCATAGCCTGGGTGAGGTTCCCAGCTTCTGCCAGAAGCCGGCTTCTGAGCTCCTCCCCGCCCTGGGACCCGCCCCCTCCCCCGCCCTTTAAGGGGAGGAGCGGAGAAGGAGGGAGAAGACTCACCCTCAGTTTACTTAAACCCCAAGAACGTTGGTTTCAGGGGTGTGGGTAACGGTAACGGCCCTTCAGCCTGTGCGCTTGTGGGCTTGGTCACCCAGTCATGTAGGGCTCTTGCAACCCCGTAGACTGTAGCCCGCCAGGCTCCTCCGTCCATGGGATTCTCCAGGCAAAAATACCGCAGTGGGTTGTCCTTTCCTTCTCCAGTGGATCTTCCCGACCCAGGAATCGAACCCGAGTCCCCTGCATTGCAGGCAGACTCTTCACCAACTGAGCTATGATGGGAGGCCACTAAAATGAAAACCACTCAATCATGTCTGGCTCTTTGCGACCCCACAGACTATACAGCCCACGGAATTCTTTAGGCCAGAATACTGGAGCAGGTAGCCTTTTCCTTCTCCAGCGGATCTTCCCAACCCAGGGATCGAACTTAGGTCTCCCGCATTGCAGGCGGATTCTTTACCAGCTGAGCCACTGGGAAGCCCTCCCGCTCAGCCTGTTACCATGCAAACCACGGGGTTCCCCTCGCGGTGTGGGAGGCATTGCAAGATCAAGAGCCTCAGTTTCTCCATCTGGAACCACAGAGGATCCACAGAGGATGATACTGACGTCAGGGGGCTTTGTGATGACTAAATAATATGATGAATCAAGAGTTTACAACGGTGCCTGGAACGTGGCAAGCTCTCACCTACTATCATTATTACGGCTTACGTAGGGCACTGGCCCTCTCGCCTTGTTCTCCAGTCCATCCTCTGAGGGGAGTACTATTATTTTATAGAGTAAAACACTGACTGACATAGAAAAGAAGTGACTGGCCCAGGCTGCATAGAGAGTGGGGTCTGGTCACAGGGACTTGGTCCAGTCTGCATGACATCTCAAAGCGGTCCTCCCCGCCTGGCACAGCGGGGACGATGGAGAGAGAAGAAGAGTCTGCAGGCTGCCCTGAGGCCTGAGCCACTCTGTGCCCCAGCCCCACCAGGGCGGGCCCCCTGGGACTCCGCGTTCCTCTCTCTGAGCGCGACTCTTTCCTTGTAAACTGAGGCTTGTAACCACAGGGTCGGTGTGGGATCCAGAGACAGGGCCATGGAGCTCTTCATAACAAGCTGCCCCTTCAGCTCTTCATTCAACTTGCATGCGCTCCAAATGCACACAAGGCCCGGTGAGGGTGTGGGGTGAACCCCCTGATTTTGCCATAATGGACTTCTGATTCGGGGAGGGAAGCCTGATTGAGCCCATTTCCTCCTCTAGGCATGAGTATTGTTATTTGGCAGGGTCAGGCATTTAGTGGGTGGGCAAGGTACCTGTCAACACCCTTCTCCTTTCGACTTCCCCACCAAATGCTCAAACACATGTTGTTACTGATCAGTCACTCACTCATGTCCAGTTCTTTGCAACCCCATGGGCTGTAGCACACCAGGCTTCCCTGTCCTTCACTATCTTGTGGAGTTTGCTAAAATTCATGTCCAATGAGTTGGTGATGCCGTCTAAACATCTCATCCTCTGCTGTCCCCTTCTCCTACTGCATTCAATTTTTGTTAGCACCGAAGTCTTTTCCAATGAGTTGGCTCTTCACATCGGGTGGCCAAAGTATTGGAGCTGTAGCAACAGTCCTTCCAATGAATATTCAGGATTGATCTCCTTTAGGATGGACTGGTTTGATCTCCTTGCAGTCCAAGGGACTCTCAAGCGTCTTCTCCAGCACCAAAATTTGAAGGCATCAATTCTTTGGTGCTCAGCCTTCTATAAAGAACCCAACTCTCACATCCATACATGACTACTGGAAAAAGAATAGATATGACTATATGGACCTTTGTTGGCAAAGTAATGTCTCTGCTTTTTAATATATTATTTAGGCTTGTCATAGATTTCTTTCCAAAGAACAAACGTTTTTAAGTTTCATGGCTGCAGTCACTGTCCACAGTGATTTTGAAGCCCAAGAAAATAAAATCTGTCACTACTTCCACTTTTTCCCCTTTTATTTGCCATGAAGTGATGGGAACAGATGCCATGATCTTAGTTTTAGGAATGTTGAGTTTCAGGCCAGCTTTTTCACTCTCCTCTTTTCACCCTCATCAAGAGTCTCTTTAGTTCTTTTTCACTTTCTGCCATAAGGGTGTGTCCTCTGCATATCTGAGTTTATTGATAATTCTCCCAGCAAACTTATTCCAGCTTGTGATTCATCCAACCCAACATTTTGCATGATGTACGCTGCATATAAGTTAAACAGGCAGGGTGACAATACACAGCCTTGACGTACTCCTTTCCCAATTTGGAACCAGTCCATTGTTCTGTGTCCGGTTCTAACTGTTGTTCTTGATGAGCATACAGGTTTCTCAGAGACAGGTGGTGGTGGTACTCCCATTTCTTTAAGAATTTTCCACAGTTTATTGTGATCTGTGCAGTCAAAGACTTTAGCATAATCAATGAAGCAGAAGTAGATGTTTTTCTGGAACTCCTTTGCTTTCTCTATGATCCAGCGGATGTTGGCAATTTGATCTTTGGTTTCTTTGCCTCTTCAAAACCCAGGTTGTACATCTGGAAGTTCTTGGTTCACGAATGCTCAAACGCATACATGGATGCATGTGTTCCCATGCACCTGTGCCGATGCACACAGGAGATGCTGAGTCTTCATTTGTGGGGCAGTGCCTTTCCCTGTTACCGAGCAACACACGGGGCTGCCTGGCAACCGGAAACAGCTCAGCGTGCCAAGCACGGTCCGAGGCCCGACGCCCAAGGCTCGCAGGGGCACGGAGAGGAGGGCCGGTCTGGGTCTGTCGAACCTCACCCGAACTTAGGAGGCGCTGGTGCGTGAGCCAGACCCTGAGCGTCCCGTGCCGCCCACCCAGAGAGGCCAGCTCAGAGGGTCACAGGCAGGCGGCCACATCCCGTTTCCGAGCCGGGCTTTCTGGTCCACAAGCCCGGGCAGGAGCAGCCTGACGGGCTCCCTCTGCAGGGAGGGCACCGCGCGGGTCTGGGCGAGGAAGCGCTGCGGGGAGTCCGCCCCGACGTCCCTCGGCCGCTCCTCAGGCCTCAGCGCAGGAAGCTGAGGACCGCTTCTGCCCTGCAGGGTCTCATCACAAATGAGTGTCGCGGACCTTCCCCCCGTCCCTCCCCATCAGGGACGCTGCTCCGAGGACTGACTAGGACAGAGACGCGCTGACTGGCCGCACAAAGATGCGGCTAGACCTCACTCCCGTTCTTTCAGGTTCTGGAGCCCAACCCTTGCCTCAGCCCCGACTCGCTCTCCGGCTCCCCATCCAGTCCATCACGAATGCAGGTGCTCAGACTCTGGCCAGGCTCCTGCTCATCCTGCACTGCAGACAACCGCCCGGTCAAGCCTGGATCATTTCAGCTACTTCCAGCTTCCTGGGGACCAAGGGGTCCCTGCATGGAGCTCCCCAGTGGCGGCCATCTCACTCAGAATAAAACTCAAAGTGCTTCCTTGGCCTGCCCACCTGCCCCCATAGCTCTCCCGACTCCCCTTCCCCTGCCTCAGGCACTAACCTCTCATCTACTCCTCAGACACTTTGCACCTTCTGTTCCCTCTGCCTAGCATGCCCTTCCCCAGAGAGCTACTTCCGGTCTCTGCTGAGCCCCCGTGACAGACCTGCCTCTTGTTCCCACATGACGAGGATATATCCTCTTCACCTGCTGGAGAGCTGCCATCCCCTTCCGTCTTGTCCTTTTGGCTCTCACTGCCAGTTCACACTTTGTATACTCACTGCGCCCCTTTCGCATGTGCAGACTCCGCAAAGGAAGGGAGCAGGCCTCCACTCAACCCCCAGCTGGTAGTCCTCAGCCGTGGCAAGGAGCAGGCCCCCAACAAATAAATCCTGAACAAATGACCGAAGAGCAAACGGAGGGAGGGCTGAATACGTGAGTGAGTGAGCGAGTGAGTCTGGTGTACGCGCCAAGGGGTTGGTTCAGAATGAAAGGAGATGGCAAATGCTCTTCTGAACTAGCTTCCTCTCTGCACCACAGTTCCTCCAAAATCCCACACAACTGTCCTCATGGGCACACGCAGAATTCTTGCTCCTGAATTCATTCCAAAAACACTGATGCCTGGAGTTGAGTCAAAGAACTTGGGACCTAGAAGAATCCGATTGACTGCCCAGAAATGGTGCTCCAGATTAGTTCTTTCCCCTCCAAAGACAGCCTGGCCCAGGGAAGAAAGACTCTGCAGCGACAATCCTGGAATCAAACTCTGAACCTTCTTCCTCCAATCTATAGGACCTTGGGTATGGTCATTCACTGGCCTGTGCCTCAGTTTCCCCCTGTGTATGGTGGGCGCCATGCTCCCGCACACAGATGGAGTGCTGTGACAAGTAGGCAGGGACAGGGCCCTTGGGGAGCCACGTGGCAGATGCTGGATGCACAGAGCACCCAGCACGTGGGGACACACAGCAAATCCCAGTACCCTTTCCCCACTGCAGACCCACGACCCCAGCACCCTTGTCTCCTATTCCTCTGTGGAGCTAGGGACAGCAGGAGAATAAAACAACTTACCCAAGGCCATATATGGAGAGAGTTCTCTGCAGCTGAAGCTGGGAGACTCTCAAACCCTTGATTCCCAGCCCAGGACTCACCCACTGCCACCCACGAAAAGTGTTCATTTAAAAGACTGCCTGGAAACAAGTTCCATGGGGGTGATGCTGAAGAAAGGAGCTCAAGTGAGCTCCACACTCAATGAAATCTCCTGAGCTGGGATGGTGTTTATTGAGAGCCTCCGATGTGCCAAGCCCTTTGGTATAAATGACTTCATTTGATTTAATCCCTACACAGCCCTGGGTGGCAGGGCATCACCCTACCCATTTCACAGAGGGGAAAGTTGAGGCTCCAAGAGAGGCACCACCTGCCCAAAGTCCCAAGCAGCTTACAAGTACTGGAACTTGGATTCAAACTCAGCTCTGTCTAAACCCCAGCTTTCCCCACTGTGCCCGTCTACCTTTCTGAGTCCCCTGAAAGCCTCCCCTCTCTAGCCACATCCACCAGGGCTGTGACCCTGCTTTTTCCACAGCAGGGACCTCCAGCCTAGACCCCTGCAGAGCCTGAGCAGGTAAGGTGGTGAGCGAGGTGGGCAGGGTGGGGAACCTCACTGCTAAAACCCTGCCAGACATGGGCTCCCATCCCTCCTTCAGAATGCGGGGCAAGAAACCTCATTCAAGAGGAAATGGAAACTCAAGTTCTCATGGGACATTGCCTTTAGAACGCCACTCACAGCTGCAGGTTGTGTGGGCCTCATCTGTAAGCCAGCATCACTGCATCACGTAAAGTCCAGTGAGAGGGAGAGAGCAAAAGGACGAGCTGTCCACACGGACAAACTGTCTCCTTTTGTTCTTTTCCCTGTCCTTCCTTCCATTCTTTCCTTCATCCTTCCCTCTCTCCCTCCCTTCTCCTTCCTTCTTTCTCGCTGTTATGGGATGAATCATGTACCCCAAAATGTATACACTGAAGCCCTAAGCCTCAGTACCTCAAAATGGGGCTGTATTTGGAAATAGATTCCTTAAAGTGGTGATGAAGTAAAAAATTAAGTAAAAGGCCATGCTGGTGGGCCTTAATCTAACATGTGTGACCTCATGGGAAGAGGAGATTCGGACACAGCCCCACAGAGGGAAGGTTGCGTGCAGACACAGGGAGAAGATGCTCACCTGCAAGGCATGCTGCGAGGCCCCAGAGGGGACCAAGCCCACTGGCGCCGTGAGCGTGAAGCTCCCGGCTCCACACCTGTGAGGGAACACATTTCTGTTGTTTAAGCACACAGCCTGTGGTACTCGTTATGGCAGCCCCGGCGAACGGATTCAAACGGATTCCTTCCCATTCTCTCGCTCCCTCTCTCTTCCTCCTGTATCCAGTAGAACAGAAAAGGATCACATCACAGAAGGAAGCAGAGCTCGTAGGATGAATAAGTGACCCATCTGCTCCAGGAAGAAGGTAATTTGAATCTACCTTCACACCCTTCCCAGAGACCAAAGTGAAGGACACGTCCCTCAGGAATGCCCGCACTTCCTCTCAGGGACCTTATGGAATTTTCTTAGGAACAATGCTTGGGGATGTACAGTGAGACCTTGAGGGCTTGTCACTCCAGCAACAAGAGCTGTTCTCCAAGACCAGGCCAAGAAGAATGAGGGTGGGGGGCAGGGGAGGAAGGGTATCCAGAGTCCCTGTGTGCTGGGACCCCCAGCTTGCTGGGACCCCCAGCTGCCTCCCACCGCCAAAGCCCGTATAAAATTCTATGCAAGCTCACAAAATGGTGCAGATGAGTAGATCTTTTTTCTTTTTCTTTTAAACAAAAACATTTTTACTGAAAGATAACTGATTTGCAATTTCTGCTGTATAGCAAAGTGATTCAGTTACATTCTTTTTCATAGCCTTTTCCATTGTTGTTTATCCCAGAATATTCCCTGTGCTATACAGTTGGACCTTGTTGTTTATCCATTCTGTATGTAATAGTTTGCATCTGCTAATCCCAAACTCCCACTCTATCCATCCCCCAACCTTGGCAACCACAAATCTGTTCCAAATGAGATTTCTTATGAAACTTGTGAAGGAGCTGTAACCAGGGTCAGAATGAGACCAATATCTCATTTGTTGTTGTGGGTGGGTTTAATCGTTAAGTAGCAACCGACTCTTTGTGACCCCATGGACTGTAGACCACCAGGCTCCTCTGTCCATGGGAGCTCTCCAGGCAAGAATACTGGAGTGGGTTGCCATTTCCTTCTCCAGGGGATCTTCCTGACCCAGGGATCGAACCCACGTCTCCTGCATTGGCAGCTGGTGCTAAGCTGGCAGAGGGGTGAGGGCGGACGGGGGACAATCAGCCTCTTGTGCCGCTATCCAGAAGCACCGCCAATCCCTGCGCTTCCCCTCCCCACTCCACCCCCCAAACCCATGAATCAGGGCCCTCCTTGTCCCCATTTTATACCGGGGAAACGGAGGCTCTGAGCGGGCTTGCAGGCCACGAACTGCAGTGCCCGGAATCTAACCGGTTTCCAGCCAGCCTGGCGGGGAGCAGGCACCTGCAAACAAAAGCAGCGGGCTCGCGGGCTGCGCGGGGAGCCACTCACCGCCAGGGGGCAGCGCGCGCCCGCGGACGCCTCTGGGACGGCCTTTGTCCGGGTGAGGCCGCTTCCCGCACCCGGCTCCTCCGCCCAGCGGGACCCGCGGGACCCGCGCTGCATCCCGGAGCCGTCCTCTGCATCGCCTGCCTTCACTCCTCTCTTACAGACGGACTGGATTCCTTTTCATCTGTCGGGGCCTGGCTCAGGGATCTTTGCAGTCTTTTCCCTTTGCAGGTTCTCTTTCCTCATCGTCTGCACACGGGGACCCGTGCGCCACAGCCCAGGCCTCCCTCCATCATCAGCTCCATCCGCCGCCGTGAAGGCACCTTCTGTTCCAGTGTGGATTCCAGCACCCCCAGTTCGTCCAGAGTGAGCCCGAGGCCTGTCCTGGTACAAACGTGGAGGCTGCAGGAGTAGCCAGGGTCTGTGTCCCCCCGCATGCTGATTGCAGGGGGCTGATCCCAGAAGATGGACCGAGACCTTGAGCAGGACCACCTCTGGGCCACTCCGGGTCCCCCAGTCCCGTCTTGGGGCCTGCTGGGCAACTCCTACGTGCGGGGCCTTGGCGCCTGGAGCCCCCGCGCCCGCATTTCTCCTGGCGTGAGTGTGCCTGTGCTGGGAGGCTTTTACTAACTCAAAGTGAGCCTCAGCCTGGGGCAGATCATTTGGAAATCAACAGAGCTTTCTAGCATCTCAGCTAAGGCAGGGTGTCTCCACTACTGCTCCAGATGAGAGCCACCCCCTCCCCCCCAACACACAGGCATACACCAAAGTTTCTCTGATTTGATCTGAACATTTATCTTCGGCTCATAATGTTCCCCATGTGCTTTTCCCCATTTCCCCTCAATCGACCTTGCCTCACCCATTGCACAGATAAGGAAACTGAGGCCCAGAGCAGGGGAGGGACCTGCAACCCCCTCCTCCACCCAGAAGCCCACTTTCTGTTCCTTCTGGAACCTGCCCATCGCCAGGCCTCCTGCACTTGCCTTCAATTCCAAACTGTTCCCCAGCTCTTTCTTATGGCTCCCCATCCTGATTCTTTGGAGGGTTCAACACATGTCTACTTTCTCAGAGGGCTGTTTCTGCCTGTCTTCTGTTCTCAGTTCTGAGCTCCATCGAGCAGAAACTGTGAATTTTGTTCACCATGCTATTCCCCACACAGAGCACTGTGCCTAACACAGAATATGTATTCAATTAAATGTGTTAAATGAATGAATGAAACTTTGAAACAACCTCAGGGAGGATGTGACATCAGCCCCCTCATTCCCATGCCATGGATGAGGAGATCCAGGCTCAGAATGCCGACTGGTATGGAAAAGAAGGAACACTTCTGTTCCATATGAATCAAGACTTCCCTCTCCGTCTCTCTAGTTGCTCACTCATGTCTGACTCTGTGTGACCCCATGGACTGTAGCCCACCAGGCTCCTCTGTTCATGGGATTCTCTAGGCAAGAATGCTGGAGTGGGTTGCCATTCCCTTCTCCAGGGGATCTTCTTGACCCAGGGATCAAACCTGGGTCTCTTGCATTGCAGGCAGATTCTTTACCATCTGAGCCAAAGGGGAAGCCCACAAAGATGTTTATTAAAGTGTATTTGGTTAAAGGGTTTATAAATGTTAAATTACATGTCTGTGTCTTGAAAACACCTTGCATGTTTCTAATTGATCTGTGATTATTTTATTATTATTATTTTTAATGTAAGTATAGTTGATTTACAATGTTTGGTCATATGCAGAGTAAAATGGTTCAGTTCTATATCTATATATACATATACATATTTAATTTTATATATATATATAGGCTTCCCTAGTGGCTCAGATGGTAAAGTGTCTGCCCACAATGTGGGTAGACCTGGGTTCAGTCCCTGGGTTGGGAAGATCCCCTGGTGAAGGGAATGGCAACCCACTCCAGTACCCTTGCCTGGAAAATCCCATGGACAGGGGAGGCTGGTAGGCTATGGTCCATGGGGTCACAAAGAGTCAGATATGACTGAGAGACTTCACTTTTTTCACTTTTATATGTATGTATATTGGGTGGGCCAAAAAGTTTGTTTTGGTTCTTCCATAACATCTTATGAAAACCCTTAGCCAATTCAATAGTATAAAAGAATATATATATTTATTCTGCTGCTGCTGCTGATGCTAAGTTGTTTCAGTTGTGTCTGACTCTGTGCGACCCCATAGACGGCAGCCCACCAGGCTCCTCTGTCCCTGGGATTCTCCAGGCAAGAATGCTGGAGCGGGTTGCCATTTCCTTCTCCAAGGCATGCATGCATGCTAAGTTGCTTCAGGCTTGTCCAACACTGTGCAACCCTATGGACAGCAGCCCTCCAGGCTCCTCTGTCCACAGGATTCTCCAGGCAAGAATACTGGAGTGGGTTGCCATTTCCTTCTCCCTATATATATTCTAATATACATATATACATATATTCTAATATATAAGTATCCCAGTCCATGGGATCACAAAGAGTTAGACATGACTGAGCAACTGAGCACGTGCGCGCGTGCACACACACACACACACACACACACACACGTGTATGAGACCATATATACATATTCTTTTTCAGGTTCTTGTCCACTTTATATGTTTTAATGACAGAGATAGAATGACTAGAACAGCTGACTTAGTAAAATGCATCTCAGTAAACCGTGTGAAGACGAGGGTGATGGAATGAGGGGGCCTTGGAGTGTCTGGGCTGTGGATCCGTGACTGTAGGTGGGGTGAGCCAAGTGCACAGCTGGGCTTTGACGAAGTGGAGCCCAGGGCCGGGCTGAGGCTGCAAAGTCCAGGCACCGTCCACACCGCCCTGGTCACAGCCCATTCCTCTTGCTAGTGAGGTGGTAAGAATAATAACTCTAATCACAGGCAAATGAAGCAAAGAGTGGGGCTAGGCCGGCCACTGTCTTGCTCGCTGCACCGGGGGTAGGGTGTCAGGAGGAAACCGGGAGGTTTTCAGGGAGCTTCAAGTGCTAGTGCTTGGCTAAGGAGATGACCACGCTGCCCGGTGGGTTTGGAGGCCTGTGAAGCTGCCCTTTGGGGGTGAGTCTGGATTACCCCCCTGCCCCCATCAGCAAATGAGAGAAGAGTGTGGGGGGAGAAGCAGGAGTCAGCGTGGAAAGCGGGGCTGCTTGCCTCAACCTCATAGTGGTGGTGGGGAGAGGATTGCCGGGTAGCTTCCTCCGTCTGCCCTGCAGCTGCCAGAACTGTGAACTGCATCCTGGGGCAGAGCCAGGCAGGGCAGGGAGCCCTATGGAGCCTAACTCGGGCAGGCTTTTGTCTTAAGTCCTAGTCGTTTGCCATGAATTACTCCTCTGGTGTGAGGGATCCCACTGGGCTGTCCACCTCACTGGCTTTTGATTTACGATGCTTCCCGACAGGCGGCTGCTGGGGTCAGAGCCAGAAGATGCTCAGGACAGCCCACAGAGGTCGTTGTTCCCGTACGCTTTTGTCAGGCCCACGGCATATGCCTGGCCTTGGGCTCAGTGCTGCATGAACTGGCCTCCAGGAAGTCGAAAGAACTGGCTTCAAACCTCAGGTCTGTCTCTTCCCAGCTGTGTGACCTTGGGAAAATCACTCAACCCCTCTGGTCACTTTTCCTCATTTATAAAATGCAGCCAATCACTCATAGCATTTTGTGTGGAGCAGCTGAAGAGTAAGATATGAAATGTGGATGTGACTAATGGGATCAGAGCAGGGGGACCCTGGGTTCCTGACCAGTGCCTTCTCTTCAGATCAGAAGGATCGAAATGGTGGTAAGACCAAGTTATGGGCCTTTGAATGCTGGACAGTGAACTTAACTTTTCCCCCGGGAGCCATGGCAGATTTGCAGGGAAGTGCTCAGACCTGTGTTTCAGGAGAGATCTGTGGAGGGTTGGTGGGAGGGGAGATGCTGGAGACAAGGCCTTCAGGGAGATGACCAGGGGTCCCCCATGAAGATGGGTAGAGCTGGAGAACACAGGGCCCTCACAGAGGACCGAGGAGCCGCCCTGTTCGTGTTGATGTTCCTGCGGGGGTCACCACGGGGGTCACCACGGGGGTCACCACGGGGCTCTGCCCCTGCAGATGCGCAGCTCCAGGCCCTGTTATCTGGGGGCTTCCTCACTCAGCTCGGGGCTTCCCTGGGGACCCAGACAGTAAAGAATCCGCCTGCAATACAGGAGACCCAGCTTCAATTCCTGGGTCGGGAAGATCCCCTGGAGAAGGGAATGGCAACCCACTCCAGTATTCTTACCTGGGGAATCCCGTGGACAGAGGAGCCCGGGAAGTCTCAAAGTGGGTCTCAAAGAGTCAGACACGACTGACACTTTCAACTTTCACTCAGTTTTACTCAAATTCTTACTTCTGTCCCTTTCTGCCCATTTCATGTAAAACATGAGGATTTAAGCATTTTCTTGTAAAGGAAGCCAGTTGGTGTTGGAAAAGGGCGAGGAGAACAATGCAGACATGAGATCTGCACTCTGCTCCTCCCAGCGCTCACATCCTCCCATCGAACCACGTGGAAGACTGCATAACCGTCCCAAAGATGAACACATCCTGGCTCCCAGAAGCCGTGGATGTGCACTTCACATGGTCAAAGGACTTCGCAGGTGTGACTGAGTCAAGGATCTTGAGATGGGGAGATGACCCAGTGGCTTAGTATCATCACAAGGGTCTTTATAAAAGGGAAGCAGGAGACAGATCAGAAGACATGGTGCTACTATATTTGAAGGTAGAGAAAGAGGCCCCAAACCAAGGAACACAGGTGGCCTTGAGAGACTGGAAAAGGCAGGGAAACAGATTCTCTCTGCTGAGGTCTGAATGTGTGCATCCAACATTCATGTATTGAAATCTTAACCCCCAGTGGAATGGTATTAGGAGGTAGGGTCTTTGGGAGGCTAATAGCACATTCCACCTTCATGAAGGGAATCAGTGCTTATAGAAGAGACCCTACAGAGCTCCCTTGCCCCTCCCACCACGCGAGGACACAGCGAGAAGTGTGTGGCCTGGAAGAGGGTCCCACCTTACCAGGCTGGCCCCCTGACCCTGGACTTCCAGCCTCCAGAACTATGAGAAATAAATTTCTGTAAGCTGCCCAGTCTGTGGCACTTAGTTACTGCAGCTTGAATGAACTAAAACACTCTCCTAGGACCTCAAGAAGGAGCAGAGCTCTGCTGATACCTTGATACTAGCCAGTGACCTGCATTTTGGACTTCTGACCTCCAGAGCTGTAGGAGAATAAATATGTAGGTGTAAGGCAGTAAATTCATGGTACATTGTTACAGCAGCAGAAGGAAAGTAATGTATGCTTTCCCCAACTCTGGGCCTCTGTTTCCCACTGAG